ACMSWGCCACTGATGCCTCCCCTYTCCACAGAATAATCCATGACTTATTCATGGGACATATTGAAATCCTTAATTTTRGCCCCAAAACCCACCCCCAATTTATACCTGAAGTCAACTGATATATAGGATACATGGTTCATGCTTGACAGTATCTTGTACTAAAACAAAGTGGATGCCAAAATTATCTAGTAACTTCAATCTATAGTTTGTGATGTCCCACAGCTTAGTTTAAGGTATGCCCCATGAATTTCTTGTTCCTTCATATGCATTATGCCTGCCCTTGATATGAGCCAGCATGTTCAAAGCTTGTTGTGCCCAAATAAAGTGTCGTGTCAATGCAATCATCAGAATTTAATAAAGGACTCTCTTGGAAATACAGATGCCTGATTTTGATATCTCACAGCTTCATTTGTGGTGGTCTCCTTCAGTTGTCTACTGATATGTTTCTTGGTACTGGGAAGGGACTGGCCACTTCAGTGGTGTCTTGTGTCAAAACTGAGTTAGGATTGGACACAAAACAGTCTTTGGGCAGCAAAGATTTCTGTCTCCTAATTACACCAGTGTGTAAAGTGTGAATGTGTGTGTGTGTGTGTGTGTGTGTGTGTGTATGCATGTAGTTTGGATATTCACCCTGAGTTTCTTATTCATGTGTCTGTGTTAGATATCAACAGCCTTATATCAAAATCAAAGTGTTTAACTGGACACAATGCTGTGGCATTTTATGAGATGATCAGTTTTAAGAAGATTGCTTTGTATTCATTTTAGCATGGTATTAACATTCTATTAACATTTTCATTTTCTTTCAGGATCTTAGAAATCAACTTTATGAATCTTACTTTTTAAATTTTATTTCTGCTATTTCAAGAAGTAAACTGGAAGATATTGCAAATGCTGCTTTGGGTGCCAGTGCTGTAACGCAAGTTGCTAAGGTACTATTATGTTAATGACAGTTTTATTGATATACGTATCAATGAATCCATTACATTAGGAATGAATCTATTACATTAGTGAATTGCGAATTTCACATAACACAGAAAGATCGTATCTCTTTATGACAAGATAATATTCAGCAAGACTCTGAAACTAGTCCAGAATAAAGGATTTCAAAATGTCTTAATTCACGAAGGTGTGCACCCATAATTTCAAGAGTAATTTCTACAGTTTTTTAGTTATTGTGAACCTCACAGCCTGTCTTATTTATGGACTGCATTTCGCAACCTATAATCAAAGAAAGATGATAAAACAATCTGACCTCAGTTCCCAATCATACTTCTGAACCATGGGACTGTTTTTAAATAATTCACTACACCAGTAGTATTCAAGATTTCAAAATTATTTAATTTATTATGTAATTTCTAAATTTATACCATTGAAATTGAATTGGCTTTTATATATGCATAAGAACTTGTTATATGTGTCTGAGGCAAAATATGTAAAGGGAAATTACAAAAAAGCAATTACACAGAATCATTCAAATTACTTAGGTGTCTTTACTTATCGTAGTATCATGATCAAAGGTTATTTTAATCCACTTGTTTCCTATTTACTTTCCTCTGAGTTTTTTCTCTCTTTAAAATGTCTTTTATAAATAAAGATACACGCAGTCAGATGGGCAAATAATTGAAATAACTTTGTTTCATGATTAATTATTTATAATTTTCTAATCATATTTATATGTACTGTACATATTATAATATTTATAGACTTGTGGGCAGTGACAGTGTCAGCGTTGTTTGATGCAGTCACCCATTTTTACCAATTTCTCTATTATATATTCTTTTATGCTCTGCACAATTGCACTCCAACTCTCAGGGGCATCTTTTGTGAAAGATGGTTAAAACCAGATGCTCTGACTAGCTCAAGTGAAAATTATTTCTGTAAAAATAAAGCCACGGGTGGATGTTAGTCTTTATCAACTAAAAGAATGAAATCACAGGCACCTGCTAAATCAGTTAAGGTGGTGGTTCTTAATAATGATCCCGTTGTCTTGGTATATAGGTTTTTGACCAATATCTCAACTTCATTACTTTGGAAGATGATATGTTTGTACTGTGCAATCAAAATAAGGAGCTTGTTTCATATCGTGGTAAGTGGATTGTGAAAACATTTAGTTCATTTAATGCTTAGTATTTTAAGTCAGGGTTTATTAAATCTTTAATTCACCTTTCATCTCAATTTGTCAGGCTACTATACAGTATAGTGGTATGTAATTATGGTCTTCCAGATGTTGAGACTGACTTATAGCTGCCATTAGCCTTAGCCAGTGGTAAGATAATGTGGGATTTGCAATTGAACATGTCTAGAGAACCATAGTTCCCTATCCTGATACAATGTATTGGCCTAACTCAGAATGTTTTGTTTTATTCATATAATTGGATTGTTACTTCCAGCTAGAGCAGGCAGTGTTTACTTCTATCTAGCTATAGAAACTTTATAGATTCAGAATGTTAAATATATCTCTAATGCCAGGGCCAGAAGAATACAAGGTGTATTTCAGGTAGTTGCTTTTGTCTATTTGTGCTGTTTGCAGTTTATCTAGAATTGTTTGCCTGTGCTTAATAGCACACCTTCTGTCACTGATGTTGATGTGAATAATTTCTCCCTTTGTTATTTAAATTATAGCCATTAACAGACCGGATATAACAGATACAGAAATGGAGACCATCATGGACACAATTGTTGACAGTCTTTTTTGTTTTTTTGTTACACTTGGTAAGTTTGAAGACTTTTAAAAATCTCCTTTGGTAAAGAAATCAACACTTCTGCATTAAGTCTTATATAAGATCAACATGAGAGAGCAAGGTAAGGCAGACAGCTTTACCCTATAGAGGCCCAGTATAGACATCATATTTCCCCATCTCTTGCCTGATTTCCAGCATTTGCCTGTTTCAGAGGCAGGAGGTACAAGACCATTTTTCAATTGAAGATGTAGAATAATTCAGGATATTTAAAACATGGTCGTTGTATTGTGACACTTTTAATACTGTTAGTTACAAATGCAGCCAGTACCAGTTAAAAAATGATACCTTCAAGTCTTATGTCCCCCAACTTTGGAACGCCCTCCCCAAGGACATTAGACAGGCTCCTACGTTGGCAGTCTTTAGGAAGAACTTGAAGACTTGGCTATTCCGGTGTGCCTTTCCAGAATAGGAAACTCCAGCAACACATCCCAGAAGCACTTTACTAGAGACCTAAGATTGTCAGCACGTTGCACTTACCCAAAAATCCTTATATTTCAACTGTCATACTCAGCACTTTTAATCTGTACCCATTTACACTTGGCCCGGCCTTAGTTTTATTGTGCTATGGTGTACTGTTTTTACTGTTTACTGTTTATTGCTTTAATTGTTTTTTATTTGCTTTATGGTTTATGTGTATTGATGTATTGTTGTTTTATTGAGGCCTTTGCCTTGTAAGCCGCATCGAGTCCTTCGGGAGATGGTAGCGGGGTACAAATAAAGTTAATAATAATAATAATAATATTAATAATAAAAATAGTAAATAATTATGTCAGCTCCACTGGCTGTCAGTCTGCTACTGTGAACAATTCAAAGTGCTGGCTTTAGACTATAAAGCCCTAAATGGTTCTGGCCCATCTTATCTGTCCAAACATATCTACCTCTATGAACCATCTTGGAGGTTAAGATCTTCTGGGGAGGCCCTGCTCTCAGTCCCACCTCCTTCACAGGTGCGGTTGGTGGGGATGAGGGACAGAGCCTTCTTAGTTGTGGTCCCTCAGCTATGGAACTCCCTTCCCAGCGAAATCAGATCAGCTCCCTCCCTCCTGCCTTCAGAAAGAAATTAAAAACATGGCTGTGGGACCAAGCCTTTGGACAGTCATGCAGTGTAATAAGTGAAGATAGAATATGTCCAATCATGACTGGAATGGCTCCTTGGCTATGATTTGCAGATTGTGTGGGTTTTTTTCATAATTGAGTTTAATGTTTATATGCTTTTTAATTTTATGTTTTAATGTATATGTTTCTTTAATTATAAAGAAACATATTTTCTGTCTGTTTTATGTGGCATTGAATTGTTGCCTATTAGACAAAATACAAAAGCTATTAAGAATTGTTGCCTATTGTAAAGCCGCTTTGTGTTCTACTTTAGCTAGGCCTACTTTAGTTAGGCCTAGGAAGAGGATTCAGCTTGATGAAAAACATCATTCTACAGCATGTGGTTCAGAACTTCCAATGGCAAATTTAAAATGATTTGTAATAATAACTATGTAGGAGAGGATTTCCAAGTTAAGTGAATTTAATATGATTTGGTGCAGACTGTAACATTATAACTTCAAAAAATTGTGTCAGTGACATAGGTTTCTTCCAGATATAGTATGTCCTGTATCAGATTTTTAAATTATTCCAAGAAGAAACAAGGATATACATCAGGCCTTCGGAAGATGCCTAGCAAATGTATTTGAGATGCCCCATTCACCAGTCTACAATCTTTAAATAAAATAAAGGCACTTCTCAGCAATAAAAAAATATTTTATAAAACATGGTTTAAATATGGTTAAGCTATGTTTCTTTCATAAGTTTACAAGGAATATAAACCATACAAAATTCATCCACGTTCAAAAATGAGTGCTATATTATATATATTTACATATTTTATTTTTAACAGGGGCTATTCCAATAATCAGATGTTCAAGAGGAACAGCAGCAGAAATGGTAGCTGTGGTGAGTTATGAAATATGTAAGCTAAAATTATTATTGAAAAGAGTGTGAAATTATTGTAACTGAATTTTCGTCCTAGTGGTTTTGGCTGTTTCTGTGGATGAGCATCGTTTTCTTTTTGAGGTGCACCTACACTAAAGAATTTGTGCAGTTTGACACCATTTTCCCTGCAATTTGTAGTTTGCTGAGACATCAGCACACTAAACCAGAAACGGCTAAAACCATTATAAGACTACAAGTCCCATGATTCCATAGCATTATGCCATGAGAACTGCTGAGAAAATGCAGTAAATCTTTAGTGATATGTTCCTTTTTCAACAAATGTAAGAAAGAATATAGAGTTCAGGTTTCCTTCTCTGTTGTGAGAAAAACAAATCAGAAAGATTTTCGTTTTTCATGTTGCAGGAGGAAGCAATAGTTTAGACTTTAAGACTGGTTCAGTTGCCAAAACCTAAGACAGTCAGACAAATGAGATAGACCTAAAAGAACACAGTTTCAGTTCTGAAAGTCTCTGTTTCCAAAGGAGAAGACATTCCTTTACCAGTTTAGAGAATTTGTAGAATTGGAATGCAATGCCCCTTTAAAAATTGTCGATGGGGTACAACCATAAATTATATCTATGTAGAAAAAAGGATATAGACTAAAAACCACAAGGCAGAGAGTGCAGTTTCTGTTGTGATCTTGGCAACTGTTCTCTCAAAAGATGAGAAATAGATGACCATAATGCTGAGCTGAAAGGAACCATGCCTTGCAACATTGATAGTTCCTCTGGTCATCCAAGAATGTACATTAATGATTTGTTTATTTATCGTGTCAGAAGTGAATTGAGGGTACAGTTATAATGTATTTAAGAACACAAACAAAGTTTAAAACTTGGCAGTATACTAGATTTCCTTTGACCAGAAGCTGGCCACTTGAAGTGCCTCTGGTGTTGCTGTGAGAAGGTCCTCCATTGTGCATGAGACAGGGCTCAGATTGCATTGTAGTAAGTATTCTGTGGTTTGCTCTTCTCCACACTACATTAATTATAAGTATCAACCAATCACGTTTTGCTCAATCTCTTACAGAAACTAGATAAGAAACTCCGAGAGAACCTCAGAGATGCCAGAAACAGCCTTTTCACAGGTGATACACTTGGGGCTGGACAATTCAGGTATTCATATTTAGTTTTTCAGAAATCATTTTTAAAGTCATACAGGTATTTGGACTTTCTGTGCTTGTAACGTGTCATTAATTTTTAACAAGCACTGCTGATTTTTAATATATTTGTACTAATCTAATAAGAGCACAGCAATAAATAACTACTTATTGAAAACTGAACATTTTGTAATGAGATTTTAAACACTAAAATTGTTTTTGAAACAATGTGTTTCTTGCTGTAAAATGTATAGCTTTATTGCAGATAGAGACGACTCTCAGGATTTTAAAAACCAGAATTATGTGAAAGCCTATTTTATGTTTCATTATGACATTTCTACAACATTGGAGACAATCTGGATGATTAGAATCTTCTGGATATTTATTAATTCATTTATTTACCTTATTTATTTATTTACCCCACCTTTCTCTACCCCCGAAGGGGACTCAAGGCAGCTTACATGTAGGCAATTATCAATGCCTTAGAACACAAACAATTCCAATAAACATTAAAATTAAATTCAAATTACTACATATTAAACATTTTAAAACATTATTAAAACCACACCATCCATAATTGCACTGCAGCAAAAGCTTGATCCCAAAGCCAACTTTTCACTTTCCTTCTGAAGGCCAGGAGGGAGGGGGCTGATCTAATGTTGCTGGGAAGGGAGATATGTAGGCATACCTGAAGATATTAACCATTTGTTTTTATTTATAGTTTCCAGAGACCTCTTTTGGTACTTATTGATAGAAACATAGATTTGGCAACTCCTCTGCACCACACCTGGACCTACCAAGCTTTAGTGCATGATGTGCTGGTAAGCAAAAGATTAATAGTAATAAGTATGTTTTTTTTTTCTTTTTCTGCCAGGTTTGTAATACAGTGTTCCCTCACTTATCACGGGTATTACGTTCCAGGACCACGCGCGAAAACTGAAAATCCGTGCAGGGACTGGTGAGTGAGCGAGGGAAGGTGGCAGTGGCGGCAGAAGCAGGAGCCTGGAGTGCTTGCTCACTCACCCACCTCCCCTCACTCGCTACTCTTCGGGCCGAGTCCTGGTTCTGCCACCGGGACCCGACCCAGCAAGCGAGCAAGGGCAGCAGCAGGAGCCTGGAAGAGCCTGCTTCTGCCGCTGCTTCCGCCTTTGCGGCCCTCCCTCGCTCGCACACCTCCCCTCCCTTGCTTGCTCGCTACTCACCTGGTGAGTAGCAAGGAAGGGAGGACGGGTGGGTGAGCGAGTAAGGCATTTTTATTTATTTATATTTATCCTGCTTTTCTCCCTATATAGGGGCTCAAGGGTAGCTAACAAGAAATGTAAAACAATGCTAATTAAACACACTATGAGTATGTTACTTATAAACAAAATATTAAATAACAGTTTAACAATTTCATGAAATTATAGAATGGGAAGAGAACACAAGGACCATCCAGTCCAACCTCCTGCTGTGCTATTAAAACTATGAAACATTATATTATAATGTATTAAAACTTTACACTCATCTTAAAATACCACTCAAACTGCCTTGAAAAACCCAGCCGTCATCAGTTTATAAACACCTGATGGCAGATAAATGTTTTTCCCTGACAGAACATTTTAATAACATATTGTTTTGTCCAGATATTTTTTTCTGTTTTATAATTGCTGTTCAGTTTATAACTCAGTTACGATTAAGATTAAAATATCATTCATCACCACAAGAGGGTGTAAATGTTGCATACTAAGATACTTCAGAGAAAAACAGGACAGTCTTGCAGTTGTAAAAACTAGAAAATATATACTTAAAAATTGTAAAATAGTTCTCAAAAATTCTTTAAGTTTTATTTTAAATATATGTTGCTAAACAGATACTATGTTCAGGATTTTCAATGTATCATTTACATGAATGAACAAAACAACATTTGTTGAGGTTGTTGATTTTCAGGCTGAGCAGCTGGATTCACAATTCTCTAACTAGAAAATACATGGGATTCTATTCACATAAAATGCCTCACATCAGGTTTTCATAATTCGTTACTAAACTGTTACTCCCCATGTACAGGTTGAGTATTCCTTAGTCCAAAAATCTAAATGCTCCAAAGTTGTCCTCATTAGTTGCTGAGATAGCAATACCTCTGCTTTCTTATGGTTCAGTTTAATAATTTTGCGTGTTTTGTTTCATTCACAAAAATATATATTTTAATTGTGTATAAAATTACCTTTAGTATATCTGTATATGAAACATGAAAGAGTTCTGTGTTTAGACTTTGGGCGCATTATCCAGCTATCTCATTTTTTATATGCAAACATTCCAAAATTGAAAAACAAAAGCACTTCTGGTCCCAAGCATTTCAGATATGGAGTACTCAACTGGTAACTGGGAAGTTTCTTTTCAGACTTTTCAGCAATAGACCCCATTTATGCAACATTGCATTCAGTACTATCAGTGCATTGGTTTGTATCCATGTAATGTTCAATATACTAGCAAAAGTAGGAATTTACACAAAATGTTTGCCAGTTATTTGTAATATAGGTGATGATTGATATCTCTCCTAATTGAAAAGTTTTCTAAAATCATTTGATGGGATCCTCTTTGTATGCTCCCTGTGGCCTAATGATAACACAGTGGGGACCTATAGCAGTGTGAGATTCTGTCTTGGGGCAGAGGGGGCAACTGTGATCCTCAAGATATATTTGTCACCTACAGCTCTCATTATGACCCAACCAATGGAACCATTGATGAGGGTTTATGAGGGTCGCAGTTCAGAAGTATCTGGTGGTTCACAGTTGTCTGCCTCATTCTACAATCTACTCTTCTTCTGTAGTGGTAATTGCACATATCTTGCTTTTTAGGGAAACAGTATAGTTCTCAGACCTCATGAAAGACTAGTGCGACTAGTAGTAGAACTGACTTTTAGCTCATCCCTTTGTTTTCCCTTCTGTCTGGCCCAGATCAGGCATTGCTGGTTGTTCCATGCTCATGGTTGTTCATCATACCCAATTGATTTCCTTCATATAGTTCTTCTTTGTTCAATTTTGCTTTTGCTTTCAGCTTTCTCATGTTAGTGAGTGAAGATGATAAGGGAGAAGTTTAGAGGTCCTCCCCCTAAAATGAGAAATATAGATCTATAGTATATTACTAAATTCCCTTTTTGTGTACACCAATTATCTTGTTGTATAAACTATTTAAATGCATTTATAAAGAACTACAGTTATAACAAACCAAAAAACACCCATTCTCATAGCTTCAGGTGTCTCGTTAAAAATAATTAAGAACTCATTAAAGTACTGTATTTTATACAAGCAATACTGTTCTATGTCAAATTGTCAGACTACAGAAATGAAGTTTTTTAAAGCAACTTTTCTCTTCAGAAATTGGAACTTGTGCTTTTAACATTCAATGGTTGATTAAATTAGATCTGTCATTCTTAAACAGGTGTTCATTCCACTCATCTAAATAGGCAACTCCTTTAGCTAAAGCTCTTGTTTGGCAGCACTAAGTTTCAAAACAATTTTTGAGCCATTTCTAAAATAAGGAAGACAACAATCATCATTTTTATTTGTAACTCACCCTATCTCCCCAGGGGACAAATCCAAAGAAAGAATAGCCATTGATGCTATAACTAGGCTGATAGACAACCAAAGCATATTTATTTGTGTGCTGCCTACAAGCAGAATAGGAATCATATATCTACTGGAGAAAGGGGCATCTACCTTTAATTTTAAAAAACTAGTGTTCTGTAATCCATTTTTCCAGAAAACTATTTTAGAAAGCAGATGTTATTAAAAAACCTTTTCCTGAAGAATTTTCAAAATAGAATTAATGTATCAGAGAAATGTTAATTTTTAGAAAAAGCAAATACATTCCGTGAATTCTCCTCAGTGTCAAAAAAAGTAATACAGTTTATTTTGGAACATTTTATCCTTTTGGAAAGAATGCTAAATTGTAATGGGAAAATACATTACAATTTAGCATTCCAGAATGGAAATTGAATAAATTGAGCCACTTTGAGTCTCTATTTTTTTAGAGAGAAAAAGCAGGATACTACTACTACTATGAATTGTATCATTTTGAACCAAATAAGACATCAACAACAAATGTATCGCTCTTTCCTCAGTTTAGGTACAATTCTTCCCAACAAGAAGGTTGATCATGAGGAGAATTGCATTTCTATGAGAGGCAGTGAATCAGATGGTTGAGAATATAAAAGCACAGAACACACTGTTCTCAGAATAGGGATAGAGTTAAATGGATATTCCTTTGTTATTTGTTCACATCTACCTGCCCTACATCTTCAAAGTTATTCTGGGTTACAAAAGCATTCACAAAACAAAAAGGGATGGAGGTAAACTAGTGTTCCTCTCTCCAAGGTGTTCCTTAGAAACACAGTAAAAAATAATACCAAGAAGCAGTTGTTGTCCTTAAGAATACTTTTTTTTAAGCATTAACCTGTATACTCATGTATAAGTCTATAAACCTGAGTCAAAAAAATCAATCCCCAAAACTTGGGCAACTTATCCACATATCAGTGAGAATACTGTGCCTTAAAAAGGTAAAGGTTTTTCCTTGACATTAAGTCTAGTCATGTCCCACTCTGGGGGTGGTGCTCATCTCCATTTCTAAGGCAAAGAGCCGGTGTTGTCCGTAGACACCTCCAAGGTCATATGGCCAGCATGACTACATGGAGAGCCATTGCCTTCCCACCAAGGCGGTACATATTCATCTACTCACATTTGCATGTTTTTGAACTGCTGGTTTGGCAGGAGATGAGGCTAACAGCTGGAGCTCACCCCACTCCCTGGATTCAAACCACTAACCTTTCTATTAGCAAGTTCAGCAGCTCAGCGGTTTAACCCACTATGCCACCAGGGGGCCTTACTGCACCTTAACTCTTATCAAAAAAAGTAACCACGTCCTTCTCTGAGTAGAGTGACAAAAGTAACAGTCCATCCTGGGAGAACCTACAAGAAGCACCTACCTCTTTTCCTCTTTCTGTTGTGGCACAACTTCTGACTTTCTTAAATGCCTGGATAGGGAAATGGTGGCCAGGAGTGACCAGCCGCCTGAAACAATATTGCTTTCCCCTTTTCCTGAAGTTACATTCTACTTATCTGTGAGTTATATCAAAAACCATTATTTGGGGCCCCCAACCTGCCCTCAATTGATAGAGGTCAACTTATGCATGAGCATATACAGTATGTGAGAAATGTTACGAATAAGAGGAATCCTAGGCTGGATCTATAATGCCATAAATAACTAAAATCTTTTCTCTTTTCCTTTGTTTTACTGTTTGACATTAGCTATAATGCTTTTTAATGAGCAGATTTTGTATTGGTAGCGGTCTGTTTTCTAATATTAGATAGCAAGTAATTATCGATATTCTTTTGCAGGATTTTCATTTGAACAGAGTTGTTTTGGAAGAGTCTTCGGGAATGGAAAATTCCCCAGCAGGCGCTAGACCAAAGAAAAAAAATAAAAAGTCATATGATTTAACTGCAGCTGATAAATTCTGGCAGAAACACAAAGGAAGGTATGTTGGATATTTAAATTAATCAAGTAACTGTTCCCTTTCATTTGAATTTACACCAATACTAGTAATATGTTATAGAAAGGACTACAATAAAAAGTAGAATATATTACAGAAAGTACTACAAATCAATTTGAAAAGTTGTGTTTTGTAATACAGATTGCAGATATAAACATTGTCTATAAAATATATTCCTCCAGTCCTTTCCCAGAAGTGGCAGAGTCAGTTCAGCAAGAGCTAGAATCTTACAGAGCTCAAGAAGATGAGGTCAAGAGACTTAAAAGCATAATGGTAAGGCTTGTTTTGCTCTAATCTAAAACATTATTCTTGGAGTTGTTCAGTGCTTTAAAAATTACTGATATTTTTAAAAATGGACTGTAAGAAAAAGATTGGGTAATTCTAGAATTAAACTGAGTTGCATTTACATTCCCTCCCTTCTCTCTCAACAGCAGTGCCAGATGAAATATAATTTAAATTAATGAAGTGTAAAAATATTCCTTACTGAATGTGCCCTTGCAAACATGCAAAAGATCTTACAAAATATATAAATTACACAAAATAGTACTATTATATCGAAATAATACTGACAACCATATTTTAACGGGTTTAGCAAACTTGCAAGTATCTTCATTCACAATCTGTGTTGGATTATGTTTGTGGCAGTGAATCTTTGATACCAATTGACTTTGCTGAAGCTGAGCTGATGTGATGGCTTGGAATGGTCCTTAATATTCCAGTTGCTCAGGGAGCAAAACTTTCCAAATGTTTCCATTCCAAATTTTATGAGGAAAGTTTTATTGAAGTGAAAACCTAACACTGATCCAAACAACATGGGTAACTTTATAGAGTAATTTAAGAAGTAAGAAAAAGGTCATCGGCACAAAAAAGGCCAAGGCAAAGAGCCAAGAGGCACAGAGAATCAAAAATGGATGTAGAAAAGGTAGTGGAATGAATAACAGAAATGCCAAGAAGACAAGAAAGTGGCTCTTAAAATATCAAGAAATTATATATCCAGTGGGACTAGGATAAAACGTGAACAGAAAAAGCTGTTCACCTTTTTCCTGGAGGAAGACATATAGATAATAAGGATTTGGAAGCCAGAAGACCAGAGCCATATTAGAACTAGAGGCCAAGCTTAAAAGATTTTGCAGAGAAATGCCTGATTATATTTGATGGTATTTTTTAGGATTGACAAGTGAGCAGTAATATTTTTAGAGGCCTTAGAGCAATTTTTTTAAAGTTCTAGAATTCTTAAATTTAGTGTTCTCAGCAATATTTAAAATCTACATATGTAAAATGTATTTCTCAGAGCAGTCCTGATGCCTTAATAGTTTCTTTGGACAGAGATATTTGAAAGTGCACAGCTTCTAGTTGTAGTTAATTGAAACCAATAATTATACCTTAAGCTCTTCTATCAAAGACTGTAACACTGATCAAAGAGTCCTTGCTTGTATAAGTAAAGACATCCTACATGAGTTTTAAAATTTTGTTTGTATTCATGTATGTATACTGGTTGTATCTGAAATTATTTTTTTCTTCTAGGGGCTAGAAGGTGAAGATGAAGGAGCAATAAGTATGCTTTCTGATAACACTGCTAAACTAACATCAGCTGTTAGGTAAGTTTATTAATGAACCAGTCTTAAGTGTCTGGTAAAGACTTAACATTTAATTAATTATTCAGTTCTAAGAACACTTGTTTGATTCTTCCATGAATGCGATGTTATTCACTCTAAATATTATTTTAGTGGTGCAGAGAAGCAATCCCAGTCACATTAGTTGTCCGCTTGCACCAGTTCCAGAGTCAGAAGTCATATATTATTTCTTTCATTATGATTGTTGACTTCTGTCTCTCTTCCTCAGTTTCATTACAAAGCCTTGCTGGCATTAGACTTGACATGTAGCAAAATATAAAAACAATGAAGATGAATCAGAGCAAGAGTGAAGAAGGAAAGGAATCTCAACTCACTCTGCACAAATGCCACTTTGTTATTTTATCATATTGCACTGCAGCTGTAACCAGCTGTCTCTTTTTAACAAGTTTCAACTGGTCAGAAAGTGGAGATAAGAAGATACTGTTGTTATTTTTTAAAGTTAAAAAGAAAGAAAATGTAGTTTTAACTTAAAAACATAAGTTGTAAAGTAACAAAGACCTCAAAAAGAGGGAGGAGGGGAAAAGATAACGTTATGAAACCTGAATGAAGATACTCTGAAAGATCTGTAACTAGTAAGGTAGGATAAAAAAAAAACTCTGAAGAAGGAAGAGAGATGTCAAGAGTCATAATGAAAGAAAGATGATGTGACTTAAACTGGCACAAGAGGAATATATTCCATGAGATTGAGAGATATTTTTCCACCATCCACACAATGTTCCATACTAGAAACATAACACTTCTGTCTCAATAATGCTAGCACCTTAATGTAAGCAAGGCAAGGCGATACAGAGAAATTGGAACTGTGATTGTTGAAGTCAGATTAGATTTATATGATATTCCAGCCAGAAGCCAAGCTCCGTATTGTATCAGTTGTAGTTTCTGAGAATTCTTCAAGAGCTGCCCCGTGGCATTGAACTATGGCAAAAGTAATGTCAAACCACATTAATTCTACAATGTACAAGAACTCCCAAGTTACTGTCATCTGTGCTTGCATTTGTAGTAGTAAATACAAAGTTGAAGTGAAACACAAGATACATCCAGATAGTTTGTATGTAATTTTTTTCAGCTCTCTTCCAGAGCTTCTAGAAAAGAAGAGGCTCATAGATCTGCATACAAATGTGGCAACAGCTGTTCTGGAACATATAAAGGTATGAAGAATTAAAATATTATTCTGTATTGTTTTGATTTGTTGTCTTGTATGGCTATGGAGAGAGGGCGGTCTATAAATAAAGTATTTATTATTATTATTCTTAATTAAGATTTTGACATTGATTAATATTTGTTTAATAGACTGTGCAGAAAAAAATAATTTCTGTAAAAAATAATAGTAATTATATGAATATTTAATTCTTAAAACACTACAATACTTACTCTGTATTCCTCATGCTTGCATATACAGGTTGAGTATCTCTTATACAAAACACTTTGTGCCAGAATTGTTTCAGATTTGGAATATTTGCCTACGCATAATGAAATGAAATGGGACTCAAGTCTAAAACGAAATTCATTTGTGTTTCATATAGTCCTTACATGCATAGCCTGAAGATAATTTTATACACAAAATAAGGGGTCAACACTTATTTATCTTAAATGCATTTGGTGGGGTCCATTAGTTGTCTCTCAACTGATCAAAAGCTCTTTGAGCCCTGGAACTCTCTGTCAACAGAACTACACAGTGATCTTAGTGATACCTTCTTCACTGAAACATATGCAATACGTTTTGGAGGGGCCTATTAGAACTGGCCATAGGAATTTGCACAGGGAGTACCATGAACACTGAGAATCATCAAAAACAAATCCTTGAAAGCTTCTGCTAGATCAAAGAAACTTATTAAATAAATAGATACCAGTTGAATGCAACAATTGAGACTGATTTCAAGAACTATGTACTTTTGCTTGTAATTTCCTTTCCTTACATGGACCTTGTAGTTAGAATAGAAGAAAATCAGAAAGAACTGTGATAAAATCAATAAAAGGAGAGATTGATGGCAGATGAAGTCCTGCTTCCTGGACTCTCAAATTCAGTCCTCCTCACTCTGGATTTTGGAGTGGATGTCTTCAAGATTTCTGAGAGATTTTTGGGAGTCCAGGCTGCAAATGCCTTCAAATCTCTTCTCAGCCACAAACTCATATTATGAATTGAGACAACATTTTTTCTTTTCATTTCAGTCAAGGACTAGAAATATGAGCATTTTAGATTCTTGGAACTTTTCAGTGGCATAGTGATTCCATGTTAGCATATCATGATGTTGCTAAGAGAGCAGTTTGTCTCTGTTTTGGAAGAGGGCAGGATATAAATCGAGTAAATAAATTTTACAAATAGGAAAGTAAAAAATAATTGAATCTCTTTACTTATTTCCATCCTGAAAAGAGGTTACTGAATGTTATGAATAACTTTGCAGAGAGTAATTTGAAATTTGGAAATATCAAATACTCAGTTTATGTAACCAAAAATTATAATTTTGTTTTCTTTAATATGCCTAGCTAGTGTAGTATATCTATTTTGAATCTTAAAAGAAAATGTTTTAGTTGCTTACATACTGTTGGCACTTGGTTTCCCTTGGAAGTGACAACCGTATCGCTTTTCCTGTCATTTTTGGGATAGAACATTTTGTTACAGTTTTATTAGATAACTGAATAACAGTGCAGGATTTCCATGGGAACTACTGCTGTAGGTATAGTTGATCCTGTATTTGATGCTTTGTTTTTCACCCGCCCATCTCCTTTTCTGGGAAGGTGATGGCAGAGCAGTTGCAGCAGCATTTCACATTGGACTTCAGTCAAAATCCAAGGCAGGATGTGGTTTGGAAATACTTACATAGTTGACTGTCTTCCCCCTCCAAGGCACGAAGTCAGATGTCCTTACAGAATTAGATGTTTTTGACACTGCCGAGGTAGAATAAATGATGAGTATGCACTTAATCTTAAAATGAATGATTATTCCAAGTGTTTGTGTGTGTGTGCTGTATGAAGCGGATACCAAAAAACGAAAAATAAAAGTATAATGGTGAGTCTACGACCGGGATCTGCTTGTCAACAATTCAAGGCTTAGGACATTTATGGCAATTTTGTAAGGGCCAATCAACAATCTAATTTCCATTTTCTGGTCTGCTGATCATTTCTTTGCCCAAACTGCAGTGCCCACTACAATTGGGGAGGACCACACACACAAAAACGTGATGACCTACTGCGTGTGGCCCACAGACTATGTGGGTTTGGGATTATACTATGTCTTCTTTTAAGCCTTCTTCAAAAGTGCATATACTTATGCATGCAGAATACATGTACATGCATATATAAACACCATGTAGGTAATTTCAAATTGTGACCCTGTGCTTATAAGTGGATCTTTGATCTAGCAGTAGTTCCAGATTCTAGAAAGGGTGGAAGAGATTAAATTACTCAATTTCTCTTTCTTTGTATCCATGTGCCACTCACCATATTCCCAACAATTTGAAGAACTAAGAAAATAAGAAAATCTTTTGATTACAGTACACTTTGAAAAGTGGGTTCAAAAATGTACCAGTTTATGTATTACGTACATAGCCTGATTTGTTAATTTTTGTTTTGTAGAAATTAATTTGTTAATAATTTCTTGTAGTAGTCAAACTTGAGGTCCAGTTCACAGCTGCTTTCCACATTTCTTTAGATCATTTGTGAAGGCAGAGTAAGAGGATCTCTGAGATTAATCACCAGTTCAGGGGTCCTGGCAGTTTTTTGGCGTATTTCAGAGTTGAGCAAAATGCTGGAAGGAGCATACCAATATTTCCCAAGATGGATTAGGAAATATTTATTAGCAAAGCTCAGAAGAAATGAAACCTTGTTTTAGGTTAATTGTTTAAGCTATTAAGAGTTTGGCAACTCAAAAATATAGCCAGAATTTGATAGATTCAAGAAAAAAATATGACTCTGCTTTTCTTGGAAACAGTCTAGGACTGCTGTTCTGGGCAACCTTAAGCGTTTTTCTTTCCCACTGGTTCAGTGTGACTTAAACATAAGCAATAAGCACATGAGTATAATATTTCCTTATTTTAATCTGCGTGCTTCTGATTTCTGTTGAATTTTTCATGGATTCATAATGGCTTCCAAAAGCAATAATTCAGGTTCATGCCTTTATTTAGTTTTCTCTCAAGTTTATTTTAAGGAATAGAAATCATTATTGATAGGCTTCTGACCACTAAGGAAAGACTGCCAGCAATGAAATAGTAACAGAAAACCTTTATAACTTTCCTTTAATATGAGAAATCATATTTAAACCTGAAGCTATGCCTTTTCAGATAGCATCAACAAATGTCCTAAATATCTGCTCCCTCTCATCATTCCTTTTGGGGAATATAATAGAGTCGTATCATAAATGAGAAAGAAGGTAGATTCTGTACTGACACTGCAGAAAAAAATCTTTTTGCTTTATATAAGACCTCTGAGCTTTTGATAGAAGCAATTTTGCCTTTCCATCTTGCCTAGCCAGGTTTTGGGCTGCAGCTTATTTTTTGTGGATACTGGGTACTTGAAGAATGGTTGTATTGATGTACTGTTGTATTGCTATATCGATGTAGTTGCTTTAGTTACTGTTTTAAATGCTAACGTTGTGCACTTTGTATATTGTCCTGGCTGTAAACCGCACTGAGTCGCCTATGGGCTGAGAGAGTGCGGTATACAAGTAAAGTAAATAAATAAAATTGGGCCTTAAACCAACAAGGGACCCAGCTTTCACATAATGCTATAATGGTTACAGGTAGACATCTTTCATGTGAATTTGTTTTCAGTCCCTATCAGGAATATATATTTGAGGGGGGCATGCAGGTAAATGGTCCAATTTACCTTAATTAAATTGGTGTGATTGCCTTCTGACTATAGAAAAGATAGGGGAAATAGCTTTCAATTCATTTTTAAATAATCTAAAGACGTATTCCTAGGTATATTTTGAATTGTTGTATTTTGTGTGCTGTTCCTGGATTTCAAGTGAGATTTATCATCTCCATATTTTTACCAAATACTTTGACTAAAACCTAATCAGCCTAATTATGCATTCAGCAACTTTATTATTGTGCACATTAGTCATGTGTATATAATAGCATTAAAAACCATTAGTTCAGATTCCAGGGTCTGCTCTGAAGGCAGATTATATATACACATGCACATTACAGATAGGCAAGTCGGGCTGTGCTTATTGATCAAAAGGTGTCCTGGAAACCTTTTGTATAGCACTTCATTTTATACAGGAAAACTATAAAGTGCTGGTTATTACCTTTAAAACCCTAAATGGCTTGGGTTCAGGCTACTTGACCGATTGCATCTCCTCTTACAAATCGGCTCAGTCACTGCGGTCAGCGGAGGAGGCCCTGCTCTCGGTCCCATCCCCATCTCAAGTACAGCTGGTGGGAATGAGAGAGGGCCTTCTCCGTGGTCGCCCCCCACTTCTGGAACTCACTCCCTAAAGAAATAAAACTGCTCCCTCCCTCCTGCCCTTCAAAAAACAACTAAAGACTTACTTTTGCTCACTAGCATATGGAGAAGAGGAGAATTAGACAATAAGAGATCACTACCAGACCTCTGGTGGAGAGTATCATATTTGGGCTTTGCTAGTCCATATTAGCTCAGTTACCATCACTGACCACACAACCAACCCACATAATTTTGTCAACTCTAGTTGGCTTCTGTAAATAAATGTGGATGTTTTATGTTCAGATTTTATGTTATTATAAAATTTTTGTTTGATTATGTTTGGTTTACTTAATTGACGTTAGGTTCTAATGTTGTTTTCATATGTGGGGACTTTACGGGATTATTATGTCAGTATTTGTTTGTTCTATGGAGGGATTAAATGTTTGCCTTTGTACGTTGGAATCCACCTTGAGTCACCCTGGGGAGATAGGGAAGAATAAGTTTTTATTGTTGTTGTTGAAATATAAATGATATAAATAAGTGAATTACAGTCTCTGCATGTTACTTTACCATTTTTCATTGTGGGTTGTATAAGTTAACTTGCAAATAAGTAAAATTGAATAGACAATAGCTAATGACATATTTTTAAAAAATCTTCAATATCTGTTATTCTAACAAAAAATTATCTTTTAAGGCACGAAAACTAGATGTGTATTTTGAATATGAAGAAAAGATCATGAGCAAATCTACTTTAGATAAATCCCTTTTGGACATGATTTCTGATCCTGATGGTAAGTGTTGAAATTGCCTTAACATCAACGTTCTTTTTTGTTTATAAACAGTTCTGGGGATTATTGTCATACAGCTCTTGAGGGCCAAATTCGATAGCATAATCAAAACTACAAATACCCATTAAGGACATAATCCCCAGTCATAGCTCAGTATTGAGAACAGGGCTATATTCCAACTGAGATTATCTATCCTCCACTCAGAAAAGTGAATTGAGGAGGATCAGTACTGATATGTGAATTCGCAAGTATGTTCTAGACTCAAAAGTGAGCAGCAAAGGGGGTCTCATGGTGAAGTGGTGGCTGTTTGTTTCTCAGTGAGAAAAATTACTTTCCTTACTGGTCATACTACAACAAGAAGTGAACTATCAAAATTTCCCATTCTTGACATATCGGCAATGCATTACCAGTTGGATAAGGAATATACTGCTCGAGGATGTTATAGCAAAAGCAGATTGTGGAAGGCACAAAAACTCATATGGCTATACCTTTGTCCCATGTAAGCCAAATCATTGCCTGTGAACAAAAGCATCATGTTTACAGGACAATTTCTAAAGATAATAGAGTTCAAAAGATCTCTGTAGAAGAATCAGGTTCATAGTTTCAGGTCCCCATAGTTTGATACATGGGAAGAAGATCAACAGAGAAGGGCTAAAAGCCAGGAAGGATGGTTTTGTTAAAGGAGATGCTGAACAAAATCCATCAGGGAGAAACAGGGATGGACTAGGACTGGCATCAGATTCATTGAATAAAGGATCTAGCATGTCAGGCTATTCCAAGCATTAAGTGCTGCCATTGGTTTCTGATGAGGAAGGCAGATAATACGGAAAGATTTTTTTTTGTGGCCTAGTTCCAATTTTATCCAGTCTCTTCCAATCAGATTATTTTTTGGCTAAACAGGTGGCAACCTTAGAATGGGAAGAGATTAAGAAACATAACAAAGTGGCTAGGTGCCCTGCAGGCATTTCCCACCAAGCATTTATTTGACCAAGGCTCACAGTATTAAAAATGGAGTGGGATTCGTTTGATTCCCGGTATCATCCAGTGAATGCCACGGCCTTTCCTCTGATACCAGGAAATTCTGTATGAATTCTAGCAGTGCCCGTTTTTCCTACATACATCTCAAGCTGTGCTATTCAGAGTTTCTAATATTGATGAGTTTATTGCTAGTACAGTGTTTATTCTGCTGTAATGTTCACTAAAATTGTGTGGTTTCTGTGATGATATATCTGACTAGAAATGATTTAACTTGCAGAAGGCCTTCTTGTTGAGCATCTGGGAGCTGCACACTAAGAAGAATGAGCCTTTATTTTCCCCTTATGTTTGTACAGATATCAGTATTACTCTGAAGATGAAATCATCTGCACACGCCCTTCTGTAGAGAGAATGTATTTTTTCAGTTTAATCAACTGGAATTACATATGAGATTTAAGATTGCTGAGTTTCTTCTGTTGAATTTTGTATGGTTGTCTTCAGTTTAAAAGAGGGGCATTATTCAATCTGATTTAAAGCCAAAATAAAACATTGAATGCCAGTACTTCTGAGTGCTTCAGTAAATGATGAACAAGTTTAGCATTCTCCTGATCTAAGACCTTTAAAAGGAGCAGAAGGAAAAAAGAGATTATGTAGATTCAATTACTGCATATTTAAACCGTGTCAGTTACCTTTTCATTTAAGCTCAGAATTAATCCCTTTCGCCTGTAACATTCAGAATGGTCTTTCTCACACTAGTGTAGTCCCAGAAACTGGAGAATTTCCCTTTTTCTTTTAGGGGCTACAAACTGCAAGAGCAGCTTTCATTCCCACATGTTGGTCAATTTAAAGAAGTAGCAAGGATAATAATAATAATAATCATCATCATCATCATCATCATCATCTTTATTTGTACCCCGCCTCATCTCACGGAGGGACTCAGGGCGGCATACAACCAGACAAAAACAATAAGTAGAATACATTAAAAATAGTCACATACTAGTTTATAAAAGCCAAATAACTCAACAATAATAGCATATTAAGTATATAAAATATTAAGTAGAGGCATCAATGACTAGATAACCAACAGTGAAGTTTTTTTTCCTAATGGGAGACATTTTTCAAGTACAACTGTTCCTGGAAGATCATATTTTCAAAATAGTAGATTTCTTTACTATATACTTAACTATCTATATGTTTCAAATGCACGCCTTTAAGTTCATTTTACTTGTTAATTCAGTGATTCATAAATATCTTTTTTGCACATTCTCTTGTAAACTTTGATTATTTGGGGTAACTGTACTGATAAAATATTTTAAAAAACAATATTTTTTTTCCACAGCTGGAACTGCTGAAGACAAGATGCGCCTATTTCTTATATATTACATTAGTTCTGTACAGCTGCCCTCTGAGGTATGTACACTTTCAGTGAAATATTGGTTGTTTTGAATCCCAGTATTAAGAGTAAATTAATAGATACATACATACAGTGGGCTCTTAATATCTTCTGGGGTTTATTTCTAGGACCTCCCATGGATGTCAAAATTAGTAAAATTGCTTCCATTGTTTAAAATGGCAATATCAAGGTTTATTTTTTGGATTTTAAAAAATATTTTCAAGCCATGGTTGGTTGAATCTATGGGTGGAGAATCCATATATATGGCTGCCCAACTGTACATACCTCAAACATTTATCACTACAAACTACAGGTATTGCAATATGATGGCATGCAAGAGAATGATTTTGTTCATTTGTTTCAGTTTCTTAGCAATGACAGAACAATTACTGAAGGTTAGCCTGTGATAGCAAAACCATCATACATGTTATTTTATATGCATCTTATTATATTACGTTATGCTATATTTACACATATTATGCAAATGTGTATTGTTTTTTCTAGGAATGTTAATGCATTAACACAAACACAACTTTTTTCGTATTTTAGAAGATGATACAAATTTGCTTTATAATTTTTTGCCCTGGAGTCAAAATATTACGTTTATGGTAAATAAATGAAAATAGTACTTCACTGCTTCTTTTAGAAAACTTGTAATAAATGTTAAATCTCTGGTTTGATTCCAGGCAGATTTGGAACAGTACAAAAAAGCACTGACAGATGCAGGATGTAATCTTAACCCCTTAAATTACATTAAACAATGGAAGTAAGTTATTTTTTTTCTCTTACAAAGCAATGAAATGGTCTAAAAAAGCTATATCTGAAATATGCTTCAAGTTTGGTTTGGACCCTGCTTTATTACTCAACTTGTGTATGCATTGGTGAGAGAAAGTTCCAAGACTTTTCATATCTGATACAATGAACCCTCGGTGGTGTAGTGGGTTAAACCCTTGTGCCAGCAGGACTGTTGACCCAAAGGTTGGCAGTTTGAAACTGGGAGGTGGCGTGAACTCCCCTTTGTCAGCTCCAGCTTCACATGTGGGGACATGAGAGAAGCCTCCCACAGGATGGTGAAACATCTGGATGTCCCCTGGGCAACATCCTTGCAGACAGCCAATTCTCTCACTCCAGAAGCAACTTGCAAATTCTCAAGTCGTTCCTGGCATCAAAAAAAAAAAATCTGATACATGCCTTGTAGTAAACACAGTCACAAAGTAGCATGGATCTAAGCTCTGCACATGAATGGGAAAGAATAATTTCACCTTCCGCCTTTTATTTTGCTGTCTTTGTCTAGTTCATGGAGAGACATGAACATCTTGCAGAAACAAAACTGATTCTGCTTACCAAGATATTTACGTTCCAGCTATTTCATTTCCTACAGTAATTTCCTTTAAATTCCATTTCATCCTAGAATGTGGTGACAAACTCACTGAACATTTTTTAACCTTCTGGTTCCCTTCTACTCCTGCTGCTTTTGTTTCATAAGCTTGTGCACAGACAAGTTCCTTCCATGTTGGATCCAAGTTCCTTTCAGCTGATTTCAGAAAATGATTATTCTCCTAGTGCTTTTGTTCTTTTGAATAAAAAATAAAGACAACATTCAGTCAGCTGCCTGATCACATTTCTACAGACAGCCAAATTTAGAAATTTCACACTTTTGAACATAATGTGTCTGAACCAAACTAGTCATATTTTGGGGCCCTTGAAAGTGTAAGATGAGTTGTCAATTGGTCGCTCTTTAACTGGTTTATTTAGCAGCAGTTAATGTATTAAAAATCACAAATTATAATATCTTAATGCTATCTGTGAGATATTTTTCTTTCTAAAACTATCTCTTCTTGGCTCTGACCATTTGAGTTATATGTATTATTCTTTATTCTGCTTTTTTGCAATCTCCAGAAATTTGGCTATAATATTTTTGGAAAAAATCTACAGTGGTAGATTGCAATGCTGAAGCATTTTTTTTTCAGAAGAGGGAGAAACAGTTAGTAGTGTGTTTGTCTGCTTGTTAATTGTTGGCAGCACTGCCCTTTTGATGTGAAATCAGAGCCATTTCAGTCCTCAGATGACTGTGTTTTAAAACCGGATGTTTCATGCATGGGAACAGAACACTTGATAGCCTAGTGATGAAAATGTTACGCTTGTTAATCTTAACTTGTATATTTTGCAGAGCTTTTGCCAAAATGGCTTCAGCTCCAGGTACCTATGGAAACAGTGCAGCTAAGTCATTGGGGTGAGTTTCAAGATACATCATCATTTTACTACTGCTTATACCTTGTGCTTTCAGTTCCAAAGTCGAACAAGTACAGGGTGCAGCAGCATAACTTCCTTTTTTCAAAACTTAATAAAACCCATGGTATGAGTCAGAAATTTATTTTTTTATAATGCATACCTAAAGTTTTGTTTTATGTAGTTTTGAAGATCAAGTTAGGTAGGTGAAGTCCCCCATTCTCCATACACTGAGTAAACCGATTTATGGCATTTGTCATTACTCTTGCCAGCATAGCAGGTGTTATGTTGGCAATTTCTTCCTGGATGTTGGACTTCAAATCTTGTAGGGTCCATGGATGGTTCACATAAACACAGGATTTCAAAAAACCCCATAGAAAAAATCACAAGGGGCCAAATCTGGAGAGCGGGCCAGCCACTCCAAATCCGCTTGAAAAGTAGGTCTCGACAGCAAAAGCACGCTCCTCACTGTTCCAACGCATGATGGCAACTGAACTGTGTCAGGACAAAACTTTATACTCCCGCCTCTTGAATGAGACTACTAGTGCTCCGCTACGTCTTCAACCGACTGAATGGTGTGCATTTTTAAAAAGGAAGTTATGCTGCTGCACCCTGTAGAATAGAATACAATATGTACTATGTAAAAGTATACTGTAATCACTTTTTCAAATAAAAGCACTAATATTGGAATAAGGTCATCACATTTTTATACATAGTTAAGTTGCTTAGTTTTTAAAATTCATTTTATCATAATTACTTGTTAAATACATGAAAGCAAACAAAATCAAACATGATGTGCACTTTGTTTCAGCCTTTTCTCACGGGTCATGAATACAGGGTCCCAGTTTGTGATGGAAGGTGTCAAGAATTTAGTACTAAAGCAGCAGGTATAGTTAATATTAAATGTGTTCATATTTTAGTTTTTAAAACCAATTATATTTCGTAGTACATGTTTTTTCTGAAGTACTTGGGACCAGAAGTTTTTCAGATTCTCTCCAACCCCCAGCAAATATTTTTAATTCTCTCTGGACTAGATAGAGGAGGTAGCTAATGGGGTCACTCCACATTCATTCTTATGACCATTTTCAGGGTATCCGCACCACTGCACACTGCTATTGGTCAGGTTGAATCCTTCTTCTTTCTTCCCATTTTCTATCCCCATCAAGATATTCAGTGAGTGCTGAACTTGTAACTAGCCTCTTTCCCCAAAATACCAGATGGTAGCAAAAGGTTTTACCTTTTTTAGGATTTTGGATTTCTAGATAAGTATTAACTAGATTAGCTTCAATTCCTAGAAATTTCTGAAGTTAGTAATAAGAGGATAGCAGGGATTTATTAATGTTTCCCAAATTGTGTAAGTGTTTGTATGACTCCCAATACATTTAAGAAAGCAGATTGCAATAGAACCAAAGCATGAAACTAGTTCCATGCCAGAAGCTTTGTAATGAATTATGTGTGCCATCTACACTCCCCAATCCAGACATGGTTTATGTGTCCCTGTTGTCTAAATTATTGTTGGCAGAAATGTAATCTGTCAATAGTTTTGCTAAATATACATCATACTTTTCCACCAAAAGGATCCTTAATGCAACTAGCAGTAATAAAATCCAGATGAAAATGACATCTGTATTAAAAGCGAAAAACACATCTTTAAAAAAAACAATTAAAAAGCACAAAAGATAAAAGTATCCAACCAATATAAAATGCTTCAGAACAAACTGTTTTGCATGCCAAATGTCCCCCTGAACAAAAGCATATTTGCTTGTTGTAGAAGGACAAGAGAGAAAAGAGCCAACCTGGAAAGAAGCTACTAAGAACACATTCTCTCATATATTTATGCATCATTCTTCCAGTTATGATGGAGTGCAGAGGGAAGTTCTCCCAATAATTTAAAAACTCAGGCACGCTTGGACGGGAGAAAATTGGCCGCATTTGGAGGTTTAATGCTTGTGGAATCAATTATTTGTGGATACAATTAGTTTGTCTAGAAATCTCTGGGTCTCCCAGCATACTGTAAGATCTAGAGCAGTGGTTCTCAACCTGTGGGTCTCCAGGTGTTTTGGCCTACAACTCTCAGAAATTCCAGCCAGTTTACCAGCTGTTATAATTTCTGGGAGTTGAAGGCTAAAATACCTGGGGACCCATGGGTTGGGAACCACCGATCTAGAGCTGATTCTCAAACTCTGAAAACAATATAATTATATAACTTAAAACAATACAATTATACAACCCTAAAAACAATACAATTATATAACTTAACTCGTAAAAAAATATAAACATTAAAATAGGATTAAGCATTGAAACAGTTAAAACCATTAAAAACCTATTCACATTCTTAAATATATTTCACAGCATCCCCTGGCTCAGTCTTTCTTTAAAAGCTTGCCTGAAAAGAAAGGTCTTAACTTGCTGCAAGAAGGACAGTAGGGAGGGGGCCATTCTGGTTTCCCTGGGCAGAGGGTTCCAGAGTCAAGGGGCAGCCACCAAGAAAGAAGACCCTCCCACGTGTTCCCACCAACTGTGCTTGCGATTGTGGTGGGACCAACAGAAAGACCTCTCCTTAGGATCTCAGAGCCTGGGTAGGTTTATACAGGGAGATGTGATCAGCCACCTAGAGATTTCTAGAGAGGTGTTCTCTTAGGTAAAAATAAAAGTTTTGTATTTGCAGTTTTTCCACTTTCGCAGGGGTCCTCTGCACTTAACCCCAGCAAATGTGGAGGGCCAAGTGTAGTCTGGTCCTAAATATTTCAGTGAGTAAATAAAATGATGAGAATAATTTCAAGAAGCATTATCCAAATTACAAAACTTGTGTTTACCCTGATTCACTCCTTTTTGTGTTCTTCCTCTTCCACACCATGACACAGTGTGTTGCTCTTGCTGTTAGTCCACAGAGGGGAGGGGGGCTTGTAGTAGACTGCCATCCTCATGTGGGACTATTGGGAGAAATGTTCCTCCTAGTATCAAAGTCCAAAACTGTTTAGAAAGTTTAAATGTCATCACGAATTACATAAATTTAGAGAGGAAGCATGTTTCTATTGTAGAACGAATATTTGTTGATTCTTTCATATGAAGTAGAGAATAAGAGCTATTGTCTTAAGGACAAAGCCAGTAGTGCCATGCAGCAGTTAGATAATGAGGAATATTTCGGATTCAACAGACTTGTGCCATATTAGCCACACATTTCTGGAGCTCAGGAGATCTGTGTAGCAACATTGGTGGCAGAACAGTACAGTACCATAAAGAAAATTTAGGAACAACTTTGTGTACATGTGGACCTTTCTAGGAAGGCACATGTGGGTTCTTGAGATTAATCTAGACATTGATTTTAACATTGCCTAATGGGTGAAACATGCTTTCTTAACTAAGATAATGCAATTCTTCAGTTACTTCAATTTACAAGTATATTTTGTCCTGGGAGCAACCATCAGGAAATTACACTTAGCTTCTGTGTAGTCATATGGCAAGAGACATGGATGTAGTAGATTAATGAGATTGCTTAACAAATGAGATTGGACTTTTGTGACTTCTGTGCTGTATGATCTGATAGAGCAGTGGTTCTCAACCTGTAGGTCCCCAGATGTTTTGGCCTTCCACTCCCAGAAATTCTAACAGCTGGAAAACTAGCTAGGATTTCTGGGAGCTGTAGGCCAAAACACCTGGGAACCCACAGGTTGAGAACCACTGTGATAGATATGGCATCTATTATTATGCTAAACCACGTTTTTCATGCTGTTTCTACAAATGTCATGAAATTCTTTTTTCTGTAGAATCTTCCAGTCACACGTATTTTAGACAACCTCATGGAAATGAAGTCAAATCCTGTAAGTACAACTCAAATACAGCAGACCAATGTTTTTAAAAATTTGTGACATAGAAATATTAAGTGAAATTTCAAGTTTTAACTTGTTTCACACATTAAGGATTCATTTTCATTGTGCTTCTTATTTAAGAGAACTGTTATTGTGATGGAGCTGACCAATCAACAATTATACAAGTTATCTTGCAATCTTAAGCTCTTACTCAGAGTAAATTCACTGCCATTTTTGTGTGTAACTGAATGTAAATATATACAACAATACACACCAAAATGTTGCCAGTGTAGTAGCTTTAATGTTCCTTATCCGCCTTCTCTTGGAAGTGTATTTCATTCACATTATTTTAGTGAATTCATCTTTAAATTCAGATCTAGTCTTTACCATCAAAACTATATGATCAATCAGCTGTGGATGGAAGCCGATTCTTTTTTTTTCTTTTTTTTTTCTTTTTTGGATTCCCAACAGGATAGGGGATGAAAGTGAATGAAGCAACCGTGCTGAACATACTTTTTTTAAAATATTGCTGTGTACAACTAATTTCCTTTTATAAAAATTATAGAATTAGAATTGTTTCTAAAACCACAGATAATAGGGATTTTAAAATTCTACTTGGGAAAATGTAACCAAATAGGAATAACATCTTGTTTCTTCCTGTTTTGGCTTGCTTTTTTCATTAAAGTAATTGCAAGAGAAGAGAGACAGAAAAATTGATATTTGCCAATGAAAATACTGAGTGTCTTTGGAGAACGAGAAATACTTCATATAATAATGTCAGCAGTTAAAAAATTGAGTTGTAAATCTTCATATTTTGTAAACAAACTCTATTTTGTTTGAATATGCTCATAAATCATGGCATGAAATAAATCGAGTCTGTGTTTAATTCTGAATAAAGATGTTAATTGTTTTATCAATTTAGCATTTGTTGCCATTGCGTTCTTGAAAAAGAAAATAAAGGTTCTTGATGACTCCTAGAAAAAAAATGTATCCTGTGGAAGGGAGATGGGGGAAACTAGTATATTTTTTTAAGCTAGTGACAGCACTGGGTTTGTTTGTATTTCATATTGCTTTGCAGTTAGAACATATTATGCAGTTAGTATATTTTGGAAAATGTGGCCGACGTAAGCTTCACATGAACCATCTCACTTCTAGGGGCAGCAGATTTAGATATTCTAAGGCTGTAACTGAATGAATGCTTTGAAAACAACACGTTCCAATGCAAATATTTTGGAGAACTGGGATGAAGAAATCTAACTGCTTAATGTGCTACAGTTCCTAGCCTACAATGTTGAAAATAGGTTCATAGTAGCCAGTTTACGAAGATGAAAATGTACAAGCATTTCTCTTTTTAAATAGGAGACAGATGACTACAGGTATTTTGACCCTAAGATGTTGCGAGGCAGCGACAGGTGAGTTTGCTATCAAGTTACCCACAGTTTGAAATCCAGTTAATGTGTAGATAGTATAGTATATTCCTTGTATATTACCTACATGTGCATAAATGTATTAAGATTAAGTTAAACTATTGTTTTTTAAAATATTTTTAAACCTCACAACCTTTGAGGATGCCTGCTACAGATGCAGGTGAAACGTCAGGAGAGAATGCTTCTAGAACATGGAAATACAGCCCAAAAAACCTACGACAACCCAGTGATTCCGGCCATGAAAGCCTTCGACAATATATTTTAAATATTTGTTTTCCTACTGACTAAACATTATTGAACTTAGTTACTACCTATACAGATATGACCATTTCACAACTGTCTAGTTTGTTTAAATACAGTATATTGATTTAATAATGTAAGAACATAAACAAAAAGTAAAGCACTCTCTCCATTAACTAGTCACATTATCTGATTAATGAGTTTAAGTCATTCAATGAGGTGATCCAAGTGCAGATGAATTTGAAGAAGGATTGTAGCTGAGCTACCCCAATATTTTTATTTGTGTGTGTTTAACCTCCCAGAATAGTCTTTGAAAGTTCTTAGAGGCAGGAATACTCCTCCTCACCCCCACCCCGTTCTATTGAGTTATGCAACAGGACAGGTTAACTAAATACAACCCCCAGACAGATAAAACTAATAGAAAGGAAATGTTCCAGTAAAAGTAGTGAACAATGACAGTTTCTGACTTATGAACTACCAAATACCAGACAAAATTAATAAAACTTGTTTTTTTAAAGTATTTATTTATTATTTATTTATTTATTTACTTCATTTGTATACCGCATTTATCAGCCTGAGGCGGCGACTCAATGCGGTTTACAATAAAAATAAGCAACATTGAACAATATATAAGACACACATACACAGACAACATATATAATCATCAACGCCTCGCTTAGAATCAGATCCCAATCTCATAGTCCTTTTTCAATCCTTGTTCCAAATACCGTCATTATTGAGTTGGTTGTCATCACATAGTTATCCGAATGCCTGCTCATAGAGCCACGTCTTAACTCTCCTCCGAAACACCAGTAACGAAGGGGCCTGCCTGATGTCCACTGGTAGCGCATTCCATAGCCGCGGGGCCACTACCGAGAAGGCCCTGTCTCTCGTCCCCGCCAACCGCACTTGTGACGCTGGCGGAACCGAGAGCAGGGCCTCCCCGGACGATCTTAACGTCCTAACCGGTTCATAGGTGGAGATGCGTTCGGAGAGGTAAGTGGGGCCGGAACCGTGTAGGGCTTTATAGGCTAAGGCCAGCACCTTGAATTGTGCCCGGTAGCAAATTGGCAGCCAGTGGAGCTGGCTCAACAGGGAGTGGTGTGCTCCCTGAGTGCCGCTCCCGTTAGCAACCTGGCTGCCGAGCGCTGGACCATCTGAAGCTTCCGGGCAGTCTTCAAGGGCAACCCCACGTAGAGCGCGTTGCAGTAATCTATGCGGGATGTGACAAGAGCGTGGACTACCGTGGCCAAGTCCGACCTCCCAAGATACGGGCGCAGCTGGCGCACAAGCCGAAGCTGTGCAAATGCTCCTCTGGAAACCGCCGAAACTTGGGGTTCCAAGCTTAGCGAAGAATCCAGAGTCACACCCAAGCTGCGAACCTGCGTCTTCAGGGGGAGTGCGACCCCGTCCAACACAGGCTGTAACCCTATACCCTGTTCGGCCTTCCGACTGACCAGGAGTACCTCTGTCTTGTCTGGATTGAGTTTCAATTTGTTCGCCCTCATCCAGTCCGACACAGCAGCCAAGCACCGGTTCAGGACCTGGACAGCCCCCTTAGTAGTAGGTGGGAAGGAGTGACAGAAGGAGTGAAAGTAAATGTTCCCGCCATACAATGCAGCCAATTAAGCCTCTAGGATACCAGATATCTTAATGGAAGTGCTGCTACAGACATGGCTAGGAAGCATGCCAAGGATGTTGAACAGTGCTATTCCATTGGGGGTGGAATTAATTTGATACCATTCACTCATAACAAATACATTTTAATAAATCGCCCAGTTGCCACAGAAGGAACAGAAGCACCTGGTGTTTTGTGAATTTTGTTTGTTTGGTACACATTATTTCTCTGTAGCAGTGCCTTGACTGTGAAACGTACTACTCAAAGAAGATAAGCTGGTCTCATCTCTCTTAGGCACCTTGGGGGCAGCCAAAACAGAGCTGTTTTGGAGAACATTCCCTGTTTGAAATTGCTGTTTCAATAATAACATTGGTTTTGCATCTTATGTAATTTATTTTCTGATTTTCTGTTGTGTTTTTGTGTTTACATTGTGTTTACTGTATTGATGGGTGTGGCCTTATGTAAGTTGCCCCGAGTCCCCTTTGGGGAGATAGAGGTGGGGTATAAATAAAGTTTTATAATAATAATAATTATTATTATTATTATTATTATTATAAAACTTTATTTGTATCCTACCCTCAGGAAGATAGGGCGCTGTGAGTTTTCTGGCGCCTTATCTCATCTGAGGATGCCTGACATAGATGTGGGTGAAACATCAGCAAGAGAATGCTTCTAGAACATGGCCATACAGCCAGGAAATCTCACAGCAACCCAGTGATTCTGGCCACGAAAGCCTTCAACAACATGCTGTTTTAACTGTTTCAAACTGGATTCTAGAATTCTTCTGAGTTTTTAGAGTATTTAAATATTTTTTTATCTTTGTACTGTTTTAATTGGTTTTATTTATTTGTTGTGGACTGAGAGGTAATAGAAATACTTACAATAATGTCAAAGATTCAACAGTTGTCACAGTACTCCAGAATATTATTTTTGATACAGCAGTTTCACTTCCCAAAAACATTGGCAACAATTATTTAACATTTTATTTTAAAATAGGCTATATAATACTGTAATAATACATAAGTGGCTATATAATACTGTATAAAACATATGTGGACAACACTTTTGATCCAGTAGCCAGAGGGCAACCCAATAAATTTTTGGGGATGGCAGATACCTACCAGCAGCAGAACCTGTATACACACACATATACCATCTCCTCAGCCGATCTACATCAGTCCATTGAAAAATGGACTGGATTGAAGTCCTAACTCCTTGAGGAATTCCACAGTTGAGGCACTGCTACAGAAAAATGATGTATTCCAACAGGCAGAGTTTAAACTGCTCCACTATGTAACAAAAAAAGCCTCAGATCTTCACCCTCACCTCCATGATGCTCTGGAGAAGAATTTGAACTCTCTCCCATTCCACGTTGTGTTGCAAGACAGTGCAAAGCTTGGGGGAGTGCCATGGACTAAACTGGGAAGCTTTGTGGATTGCAATGTGTCCCAGAGGTTCTCCATTCCCATCCCTGATATAATGGATTTTGCTAGTTGGGAATATAGTTCCTAGATTGTTTGAGCCTGCCCATTTAGCAATGGTACATGTTGTATGTTCAAACTTTCCATGAAATTGTTTTCTGAGGGTTTCCTTTTTTTTATAGCTCAATTCCAAGAAACAAAAATCCATTTCAGGAGGTAAGAAGTGCTTACACATTCCAAATCTCTGATGTTAACAGTTTACTTTTTAACATGATAGACACTCGGTAGTCTCTCTTTAGAAACAAATTTTGATTCCATTTTTATATCATTAGTTTGATTACAATTTTGTTAAATGATAACCAGTATAAGCCTCTTTTATCTTCAAAGAGTCAACACAACCTAATCCCTTTCAGCAGTCTTTTATGACAAAGCTGTGAAAAGAAGGCTGATTCTTAAAATTTTAACACCCAAGCCTTAAACTCATTTACTTAACACCCACTTCTTCTTGTGAAACTTCATTCCAAGTAAGCATGTTTTGGCTTTTAACCTGTAATCAAGTTAAAATATAAAGCAGTCCTTCTAATGCAGTGGTTCTCAACCTGGGGTCTCCAGATGTTTTTGGCCTACAACTCCCAGAAATCCCAGCCAGTTTATCAGCTATTAAGATTTATGGGAGTTGAAGGCCAAAAACATCTGGGGACCCCAGGTTGAGAACCACTGTTCTAATGGGTTTTATGTGAATCACAAAAACATGTTCCTGTCTTCTTTAAAAACAGAATGGAAATATTCAGTTTGCTCACTTTTTATTTTTCTATCATTATAGCTTAGCAATCTGTGCAGACAGTATGGGAAGTTCGTTTTAATGTCGCCGCTTTAGTGAAATGTATGTTTCATAAACATAGCCTGGGATCACTGAGTCTCAACATTTACTTCTGTTTGTTGGAGAAATGGAGGAGGAAGCTCAGAATGTTTTCCTAGTATTTTCCCAGTATTTGCTGAAAGTTTGTATATTGACTGAACACTAGTTGTAGTTTTCCTCCATAGAGGCATAAGTATAAGAATTATTACAAACTGAACATAAAGCCAAAATGCTTTGTGCAAGAAAAATATATACATGACCACCTAGCCCCGCCCCTTGGAAACATTCATATCCAACAAACAAAACAGTAAATATATTTCGGGGGGGGGGGGGACATTTGGAGTCGGTGCTTACTAGCATGTCCACATTCGTCCCACTCATTTAGGCCTGCACAACTTTAGGCAAATGCTTGAATAAGACATAAACATTATTTACCTCTCACTGCCATCACCAAATAAGAACTGCTGTGTTCTTTCATCTGAAGGTGAATACCAAATTTCATTCAATTTGTTTCAAAGAATCCAAAATGTTTCATGTTGCTTCTGTAGTAGTCTCAGCATGCTGTAACACCTGTATCAAATTGCTTGTGTTGTTTCCACATTGTAGGCAATTGTCTTTGTAGTTGGAGGAGGCAATTACATTGAATACCAAAATCTTATTGATTACATAAAGGTATGTTTCTGTATTGTTGTTTTCCTTAACCAGTCATTAGATTTTTTTATTCTTTGAGTAATTGTGTTCAGTTTACTACGTAAACCCTTTTGAGATGAGAAGGCTGCCCCTATCAGATCTCGCCCTCTTTTTAACTAAATGGAAAGGCAGCATGTGCCCATTTGAACATACAATGGGAACTGATGATTTTGGATATTTATGAAATGTTTTCTAATGATTGGTTTCTTTAACATTTCCACCAAAATTACTTAATCGTGTTGCATTAATATGCAACAAGTTTTTGTTGTACTGTAATTCTGATCATAAACAAACTCTATACATTCATCACACTAGAGAAAAAAATCCACTTAAAATCTGGCTATTACCTCCAGCAGAATTTTGGGGATTGTAATTTAGGGAGGAGCCTTTAACAGCCTCACTAAAATACAAACCGCAGAATTCTGTAGGAAGCAGAAACCGGATTTTAAATGGATTTTTTCTCTAGTGTGATGAAGTAGTTACTAGACATCTATTTTTGGTTTCTTCAGCAGAGCAGGGTACATAAATGAAGTTACATAAATATTTTCTTCATTAAATTGCATGTATATAAATTTATTGAAAGTGATTCTTCTATCTTATGACTTTGTAATAGCTTCTTCCAGTGCATATGAAATATTTACTCCAATAAGACTTCCTCTAAGCTTTTTTTATCTAAGATGAAACAGAGTGAACACTTCATACATTTAGAGTATGTATTCTCATAATTGTTTAGTAACACTTGCGCCACTAGGAGCCCCAGTGGAGCAGCTGAGCTTGCCGAACAAAAGATATGCGGTTGAAATTTGGGGAGCGGGGTGAGCTTCCGCTGTTAGCCCCAGATTCTGCCAAGTTCGAAAACATGCAGATGTGAGTAGATCAATAGGTACTGCTCTGGTGGGAAGATAACAGCAGTTATGCCGGCCAAATGACCCTGGAGGCGCTTACGGACAATGCCGGCTTTTCAGCTTAGAAATAGATATGAGCATCACCACCACCCCTGAGTCAGACACAACTAGACTTAATGTCAGGGGAAACCTTTACCTTTACCTGTCACCTGTTTCCTTTTGTTTATATGCTTCTACATCATGAATAATAAAAAAAATTGCACACAGTAATACAGCAGAAGCACCAATATTTGGTGCAAGGATAGGAAAGATTTAAGAAGTCTTACTTACTAATATTAAAAAATGTTGTTTCATCTCTTTGTGACAAAATCATACTGATAATAGAAAGGCATTACTACTTATATTGTTTATAAAAAATACTATATTATATTCAATCAGCTTTAGGTCATAATTCCAATAAACAATGCAGCAATTCCCACAATGCATGTAACTGAATAGTTTGCTGTATTATATAAAATCCTTCTCCTTTTTTTCTCTCTTTCGTAGTCTCACCCTGTCTTCAGTGCTTCTTAGTGGTATCGCACCATTTTGTCCAAAGTTTTATATTTTTCTTAGGTATTAATTAACATATTTAACTATGCCAAACAACATTTTGATCATTTATATCTGTCATATAGGTCAAACAAGGTAAACATGTCTTATATGGCTGCAGTGAACTGTTTAATGCTGCACAGTTTATAAAACAGGTAAGGATTTAAGTATTCCATAAATATTTTGAAGTCGTATGCGAACTTACTGAATGTTTTATTCAAGAAGTATTTTCAATTTTAATGAGTGCATGGAACATTGCAGTGTTGTTTACCCTTGACACAGAAAAGGGCTTTCAAGTGAGCCAGTGCTTTGAGTAAGATCTGTTGAGTTTGGAAAACTGCTTAAAAATTGAGCGATGCAATGGAAGAATTTAGGAAGAAGTGAAAATCCTATCATGATGTCTTCAAGGAAGTATATTCTTCAAAGTACTCTGGGGCATATACTTGTTTCAGATGGGTTGGTTTCCCAGCTAGGTTTGAAACAGGATAGATGTTTCTCAGTTGCCACTTTTAACCCTTGCCAGAACCAACACAGAGAGTTTACTTCCTTTTCTAATTTAGCCTCTGAACCAGGCACCATACATTTGAGCCAGGAATCACAAACGCCTCTTAGGGCTTACTCACACAGTGGAGTGGCAAGAGCAGAACACATTAGCAAAGTAGAGCACATTAGTATGGAGGAGAAGAGATGATGATGATCCAATTAATTTGTCTTAACCCCATTTTACTATAAATATTTTGTAGTTGTAGAACAGTTTACTTCTTCCTGCTTTACAAAAGACATAACTGCTCAGCTAGTACAACATAAATGAACCTGCTTTGCTCTGCAGCTGTTTTACATATAATAGATATTGGATCAGTTAGTAGTTTAAGTGTGTAGTCAATGTAATTACTTCGGCTAGGAAACAACTATATGATGTGCTAAGTTGTGGTGGGGAGTTTACATGTGGAAGGATCTCCATGAGACGTCACAGAATGCTGCCATCTTCCTCATAGAATCATAGAGTTGGAAAAGATCACAAGGGCCATCCAGTCCAACCCCATTCTGCCATGCAGTAAAAGCATAATCAAAGACCCCCAACAGATGGCCACCCAGCCTCTTCTTAAAAACCTCCAGAGAAGAAGACTCCGCCAGACTCAGAGGCAGCATATTCCATTGTCGAACAGTTCTTACCATCAGGAAATTCTTCTTAATGTTTAGGTGTAATCATTTTCCAGAGCAGCAGGAAACAAGCTTGCCTCCTTCTCAGTGTGTGCTTGTTTCCTATCTCAAGGTTGCTCCCAGGAAATTTGTCAAGTTGGGGATAAGAGTATTGGTTGAATGGGATTATGGGGCTTACATGTAGATTTCCAATATTGTACAGATAGTTGAGCTGCCTATACTCACACTGAAGAGAGACAGCCAATACTGATGTGTCAGGCCCTTATGGGGAGATTTCCCCTTGCGTTTCTGAAAAATATTTTGTTTCATTTGAGTTTACTAATACATTAATAACCTAATAACAGGAAGATAATCAGTTGTCTGATGTTTTTGTTTCTGTTTAGCTTTCCCAACTTGGGCAGAAATAGGACAGAAGATACTTTTTGGACATTTTGGCACTGTGAAGAAAAGATCATGGCAGCAGTTAATATCTTAACCTATGCTTAAAATTTAAATGTCAACTGATTCATTAAATTGGTAATTTTTATGTAAGAATGTTCTGTACTTGTATATATAATTCATACCATGCAGAATAATACTCTTCAAATAAATCACAACACTTGGACTAACTACCTCTTTTGTGTGTGTTTGATTGTTAGATGTAAATGATTAGTCATTGGTGAGTACCATATTTACTCACATCTAATTTTTTTTTTTTTGCTTAATTACGTAACCAAAAGTGAGGTGCGCATTAGATTCATGTGTGTAAACCTGCCTGCGCTGCTGGGTCAGGCCAAAGATGGCAAACACACAGCCTCAGGCTGACAAAGGGGCATGGCTTCCCAGCTGGCCTCAATCACAAGGCCTACAAATCTTCCCCTCAATTTTGAGGACCTCATGAGTTAGGCCTTAGTTGGGAAGCTGCTGCTCATCCGTCAGACCGAGGCTAGCGAATTCACCATCCTCAACCTGATGGAGTGCACGGCTTCCTCTTGCCTGTTGAGTGTTCCAAGGCAGGCAGCGGAACAGCCAACAGGCAAGGAAAAGCCATGCATTACATTAGACAACAAATCACAGAGGTCCTCAAACCAAGGCCCGTGGGTCTGATACATCCCTCCAAGGCAGTTTCTCAAACTCTGATTCTCCAGGTGTTTTGAACTTTAGCTTCCACAATTCCTAACAGCTGGTAAACTGGCTGGGATTTCTGGGAGCTGAAGTCCAAAACAACTGGAGGATTACAGTTTGAGAAACACTGCTCCAAGGTCATTTACCCTCCCCTGCCCTAAATTTTTGACTTCAGCTCATCCTAAGTCTCAAACGACTTGAGTGCACACAACAGTCGAAATTAACTTGATTATCTCATCAGGCAAAAGCAGACCCACAGTTTTCAGTTTATGTTGATTAAAATTGTTCTTCATTTTAAATATTGTATTATTATTTCATATATTTTTGCACTATAAATAAGATAGGAGCAGTATACATGGGAATTGGTTTGTTTTTGTTTTTTTTGTTTGTTTGATTGATTGTTTGTTTTCATACTATAGTCTGGTCCCCCAACAGTCTGAGGGACTGTAAACCTATGCTTAAAAGGTTTGAGGACCCCTGTACTAACATGTATCAGGGATATAGAAAAATAAATGCAAGCTAGAAAGGGATGTTGCCCAAGGCTTTACATACTGTCTGTCCTTTCTAGCCTGATAGTTGTGTGAGTTTTAAGTATAATAGTGGCTGGGAGCAAACATAAATCATTTGCTTCATTTTCACCTAATCATCTTGTTCTACTTTGCTTGCAGGTCAGATCGGGGTCCCACAGAGTAAGACATTGAAAAATCGAATATCACCAGCATTTATGATAGTGTTAATTACCCTGATTGATATATATTCTGGGAGCTCACGGGTTGGTCCATCCCATCTTCATCCCCTTGGGCAGTTACAGCATTTTATAACTGAGGTTTATTTGTGCTGTAGGACAACCTTCATTTATCCACTTGCAAGTGTGTTGCTACACAGTTCTCAGTTTAAGTCCTGAAAAGAGTAAATAGTGCTGATGGACAGTGCTGTGGTGTAGTGGTGCAGAATCACCAGTCTGCTTTGAAAGGTACTTAAATTATATTATATGAATAAAAATATGCATTTAATTATGTATTATCAATATTATTATTTTTCACAACCACCAGGTGAGGTTCAGCAAGTTGGAAGGTAGTGATTGACCTAAGAGTACACAGATTTTTTTTAGATCTTTGTACACCCAATTGCATCTACCAAGTCATACCAGTATTCTAACTACATTTTGTTTTCAATCAAATAACCATTTCAAAATCAAATTATGCAATGCATTCCAGTTTTTCTCAGTATACAAGCATTTGTTTTACAGTTAAAAATAGATTTATGGTAAAATCCCAATTTATTGCAAGCTAAGTAAAATTAAAGAGGTATTGATATGTTTATTCAACAAATCTCAGTAACAATTTATCTTAACTTTGGTAAGATATAAAACTTACTCCCCTACTTTCTTTACCTATTTGATGCCCACAGTTAGAGGGAAGATCACTTACTAGAACTAATGCTCTTTAACCAATTAAAATGCCCAGTTTTATTCATAACTTTATTGACTTTAGTTAGTTCCTATCATTTTTAGAAAGCATTTCCCATTGGTTTGAATAATGCCCACTAAATCCTGCCTGGTGTTGCTGACATTGGCCCAGTGTCGCATGAGGTTAAACAGCCCATCCAAAGCCTTTATTTATTTAAGCAAGTGGCTAAGCTTTCTACTGTACTGGGTAATTAAAATAACATAAAATTCTTTACACCTGAATGAGCAACACATTTGACTGAAAGTTTAATGGTAACGGAGCCCCACAGAAACATGCTTGAACTATCAGTCATGAGTAGAAAACAAGCCTTTCAGTCCTTTTGAACTAAACGTATGTTTCATCACAAAGGCTAGAAAAGTTCTTTTGGTTGTGCTAACTAGGGGATTCAGTAAGCTGTAATCTGGAAAAAAAAACCTCTTCCAGAGTGTTACACCAGTGTTAACATCCATATAAAAGTTAATTTGCTTTTCAAGCACAATCTTAGTTGAAAGTTTAAACAGACAATATTAACAGCTTAAGTAATGCTCCTTTTGATCCTGCTGAAATACCTGTAATCAAGTGTTTTACTGGTTTCAACATGGCATAGAAACAAGTTTTCAATGTGTTTGCAACACTCAACTGTGGAACCCATTCTCTTAATGCTAGTCAAACTCTTAACTTTTAGTTTACAAGTCAGTATTTGACATATCCCTGAAATAGACATTTCAGAAAATCATAGACATGTTCAAAAATCATGACCAAACAATGAATATACATAAATGTATGGAATACAAAATAATTATTATTGGCTCAGCTCTCAACGTTGGCATGCATACCAGCCCTCTCAAAGTATAGGAACAAAGCAGAATATTACATTACCAGTATTGATCCGTATTTATTATCAAATTTTGTCAAGTAAGATTTCATTAATCCAAACAAGCTCAGGAGGATATTGCTAACTGGTTCAGTCAAGTAAAACCATATATATTATTAGAATATCTGAGAACTATGCTTGACATGTAGTAAGTGCAGACACCATATTTGGAACAGGGAAAAAATGAAAACCACAAATATCTCTGGGGGACAGGTGCTGCTGCTGTGGTCCACAGGTGGGTCCTACTTTCCATGAATAGAGGACAAAAGGGAGAAACATGCCAAGAGGAAGGCGTGTCAAGCAAACCATTGACACGACCCTCTTCCATCTGGAAACAGTGAAAGACCATGCAGATCCAGTATAGTTCTCTACAATCATATGCAGACCCACCGCCAAGACTACCCTTGGAAGACAATTCTACTTGGCCACAAGTGATAGCCTATGATAATAACTTGCCATGATTTCAGAGGGAAGAAGAACCAATCCAGCGTGTCACTTCACTTACCTTTCGAACTCCAGCTCCTTTTCCTCTTCTTGCATTGTGTCTGTTTTATGTGGACAAAGCAACAGAGTTACCAGAGGACAGAAACAAGAAGAAGAGGAGAAATTGCCCCTGAACATGCCTGCATTATCACCTAACCTGCAAATCTGGCTCCTTTTCCCAATATCCATGTGGACAGTGGTACAATAGGACAGGTTAGGACAGTGGTACAATAATACCGAATAATTATATAATAACTGAAATTGAAAATCATTACTATACAATAATTGAAAATCAACCATGAAAGTGGAGGGATGACTCTACTATAGATTAACCAAGCATATCTTGACTTTAATTACCTGGTATGCATATCCCAGCAAGGGTGGTTGGAGAGAAATGCAAGATCTGATTGACTGGTGGCCATCCTAGGAGCTGTGTTCATACTCCCTGGGCGAAAATATATATAATGGTATAGTAAAACTATGTCTCTTATATGAAATGGTCTTCCCTTAAAGACAGAGAGATTATAATAAAAGTAAGTCAGGACAAATTAATATAGTGCCTACTCACAGACGTGTTCATTCCAACATCTGGTTTGAAGAAGTCTATGTATGAGTGTAGGATCTTAAGGTGTATTTTGCTAGTATTCTTTTTTTGCTAGTATTCTTTTTTTTTAAGAGAGTAGTCTAGGATCGACAGAAGCTGACACCAAAGGACAATAATTAAGCATAGATTTAAAGTCCTGAATGGTTCTGGCCCAGATTACCTGTCCGAACGTATCTCCTGCTATGAACCATCACGAAGCTTAAGATCATCAGGAGACGCCCTGCTCTCAATCCCAACACTCTTGCAAACGCGGTTGGTGGGGATGAGAGACAGGGCCTTCTCGGCAGTGGCCCCCCGTCTGTGGAACTCTCTCCCTAAGGACACCAGGTTGGCAACCTCCCACCTGTCCTTTAGAAGACAACTGAAGACCTTGGCTCTGGGGCCAGGCATTTGATTAGAGGAAAGCGGCAATAGGTAAAGGAAATTTGGATTTTGCGACATGGATTCTCCCGGCTCAGCTTGGTTTTTACTGACACGTTAATCTATTAATTTATTGTTAGATTTTATTATTTATTTAGTACATTTCTATACCGCACCTCTCAGCCTTCTGGCAACTCGAGGCAGTTTACAAGGCAAGAATTCAATGCCATCAAGGACACAATTACAATATACAATATAAAAAACATCAGCAACAATAAAATCAAACATTATAATGAAACATATAGTTATTCCATTATTATATCCGTTACTCCGTATTTTCAAATGCCTGCTCAAATAGCCATGTCTTAAGATTCTTCCGGAATGATAGGAGCGAGGAAGCCGATCTAATCTCCCTAGGAAGGGCATTCCATAGCCGAGGGGCCACCACTGAGAAGGCCCTGTCTCTTGTTCCCGCCAACAGTACTTGTGATGATGGCGGGACCGAGAGCAGGACTTTAAGATAATCTTAAAGTCCTTGCAGTTTCATAAGGGGACATTCGTCCGGACAGGTAAGTTGGGCCAGAACCATTTAGGGCTTTATAGGCTAAAGCCAGCATTATGGTAGTTTGGCATAACTTATGTTGCTACAGCTCAATCTTAAAAGGCTGCAATAATTTTAATTGTAAAAGGGACTTAGAATCCTATGCTAGAAAGATCTAGCACATTCCTCTAACTA